AAAAATCAAAGTTGAAGAAATCTCAAATTTTTGACCAAAACGATGGACTAACCCCTTTCGAAAAATTCTAATCTTCCGTTTTTGATAAACAGTTGTTTTTAGTGTCTTTAAAGGCTTCTTTTTTATGTAGAACGTCAGCAAACACTTTTTCTCGATCTATCTTTAAAAAACACAAAAGATGAAAAAACTTCAACTTTTTAACCAAAATCATGGACTCTCCCCTTTGCAAAAATGCCAATTTTGCCTTCTTTTTAAATCCATGTTTCTACTGTCTAGAAAGGCTTGTTTTGTAAGAAGAACGTCACCAAATACTTTTTCTCGGTGTATTTCGAATAAAACGAAACGTTTACAAAATTTCAAATTTTTGACCGAAACCATGGACTAACCCCTTTGGAAAAATGCCAATTTTGTGGGTGTTTGAAACCGGTGTTTTCGTTATTCAGAAAGGCTTGTTTGCTATATAAGACGTTTAAAATCGTCTTTTTACGATTTATTTTCACGATCTATGACATGGGAATACACGGGGTTACAAGGGGTTACAAGGGGTTACAAGGGGTGAAAAGAGGTTACAAAGGGTTACAAGGGTTTACAAGGGGTTACAGGGGGTTACAAGGGGTTACAGGAGATTAGAAGGGGTTACAAGGGGTGAGAGAGGGTTACAGGGGGTTACAGTGGGTTACAAGGGGTCTCAGGGGGTTACAAGGGTTACAGTGGGTTACAACGGGTGACAGGGGGTTACAAGGGGTTACATAGGGTTGCAAGGGGTGACAGGGAGTTACAGGGGGTTAAAGGCGGATACAAAGGATTATAGAATCTTTTTCGAAGTAGAAGGTTCCCAGATACTTTTTCTTGCTCTGTTTGGCATAAAAATCAAAGTTGAAGAAATCTCAAATTTTTGACCAAAACGATGGAAAAATTCTAATTTTGCGTTTTTGATAAACACTTGTTTGTAAAGTCTTTAAAGGCTTCTTTTTTTATCTAGAACGTCAGCAAACACTTTTTCACCATCTATTTTTAAAAAACACGAAAGATGAAAAATCTTCAACATTTTGACCAAAACCATGGACTAACCCCTTTGGAAAAATGCGAATTTTGTGGGTGTTTGAAACCGATCTTTTGGTTATTCACAAGGTCTTGTTTGGTATATAAAACGTCGAAAAATGTTTTTTTTAAGATTTATTTTCACGATCTATGACATCGGAATACAAGGGGTTACAAGGAATTACAGGTGGTTACAAGGGGTTACAAGGGGTGACAAGGGGTTACAATGGGTTACAGGGGGTTACAAGGGTTACAGGAGGTTACAAGGGGTTACAATGGGTGACAGGTGGTTACAAGGGGTTACAGGGGGTTACAAGGGGTTACAGGCGGTTACAAAGGATTATAGAAACTTTTTCTAACTAGAACGTTCCCAGAGACTTTTTCTTGGCCCGTTTTGCATACAAATCAAAGTTGAAGAAATCTCAAATTTTTGACCAAAACGATCGACTAACCCCTTTAGAAAAACTCTAATTTTGCGTTTTTCATAAACAGTTGTTTTTAAAGTCTTTAAAGGCTTCTTTTTTATCTAGAACGTCAGGAAACACGTTTTTTCTCAATCTATTTTTAACAAACACAAAAGATGAAAAAACTTCAACTTTCTGACCAAAATCATGGACTATCCCCTTTGCAAAAATGGCAATTTTGCCTTCTTTTTAAATCCATGTTTATATTGTCTAGAAAGGCTTGTTTTCTAAGAAGAACGTCACTGAATACTTTTTCTCGGTGTATTTTGCATAAAACGAAACGTTAAAAAATTTCAAATTTTGGCCAAAACCATGGACTAACCCCTTTGGAAAAATGCGAATTTTGTGGGTGTTTGAAACCGATGTTTTGGTTATTCACTAGGGCTTGTTTGCTATATAAAACGTCGAAAAATCGTTATTTTACAATTTATTTTGACGATCTATGACATGGGAATACAAGGGGTTACAAGGAATTACAGGTGGTTACAAGGAGTTACAAGGGGTGACAAGGGGTTACAATGGCTTACAGGGGGTTACAAGGGGTTACCGGGGGTTACAAGGGGTTACAGGGGGTTACAAGGGGTTACAGGGGGATACAATGGGTTACAAGGGGTGACAGGGGGTTACAAGGGGTTACAAGGGAATACAGGGGGTTATAAAGGATTATAGAAACTTTTTCTAACTAGAACGTTCCCAGATACTTTTTCTTGGTCTGTTTTGCATAAAAATCAAAGTTGAAGAAATCTCAAATTTTTGACGAAAACGATGGACTAACCCCTTTGGAAAAATTCTAATTTTGCGTTTGTCATAAACAGTTGTTTCTGAAGTCTTTAAAGGCTTCTTTTTTATCTAGAACGTCAGCAACACTTTTTCTCGATCTATTTTGATAAACACAAAAGATGAAAAAACTTCAACTTTCTGACCAAAATCATGGACTATCCCCTTTGCAAATTTGCCAATTTTGCCTTCTTTTTTAATCCATGTTTATACTGTCTACAAAGGCTTGTTTTCTAAGCAGAACGTCACCAAATACTTTTTCTCGGTGTATTTTGGATAAAACGAAACCTTAACAAAATTTCAAATTTTTGACCAAAACCATGGACTAACCCCTTTGGAAAAATGTCAATTTTCTGGGTGTTTGGAACCGATCTTTTGGTTATTTACAAGGGCTCTTTTGCTATATAAAACGTCGAAAAATCGTTTTTTTACGATTTATTTTCACGATCTATAACATGGGAATACAGGGGGTTTCAAGGAATTACAGGTGGTTACAAGGGGTTACAAGGGGTGACAAGTGGTTAGAAGGGGTTACATTGGGTTACAAGGGGTGACAGGGGCTTACAAGGGGTTACAAAGGGTTACAAGGGGTTACAGGGGGTTACAAGGGGTGGCAGGGGGTTACAAGGGGTGACATGGGGTTACAAGGGGTGACAGGGGCTTACAAGGGGTGACAGGTGGTTACAAGGGGTTACAAGGGGTAACAGGGGTTTACAAGGAGTTACTTGGGGTTACAAAGGATTTTAGAACCTTTTAAACTAGAACGTTTCCAGATACTTTTCCTTGGTCTATTTTTCATAAAAATCAAAGTTGAAGACATGTCAATTTTTTTACCAAAACGATGGACTAACCCCTTAGGAAAAAATCTAATTCTGCGTTTTTCATAAACACTTGTTTTTAAAGTCTTTAAAGGCTTCTTTTTTATCTGGAACGTCAGCAAACACTTTTTCTCGATCTATTTTTGATAAACACAAAAGATGAAAAAACTTCAAATTTTTGACGAAAATCATGGACTATCCCCTTTGCAAATTTACCAATTTTGCCTACTTTTTTAAATCCATCTTTATACTGTCTAGAAAGGGTTGTTTTCTAAGGAGAACGTCACCAAATACTTTTTGTCGGTGTATTTCGCATAAAACGAAACGTTTAACAAATTTCAAATTTTTGACCGAAACCATGGACTAACTCTTTTGCAAAAATGCGAATTTTGTGGGTGTTTGAAACCGATGTTTTCGTTATTCACAAAGGCTTGTTTGCTAAATAAAACGTTTAAAATCGTCTTTTTACGATTTATTTTTACGATCTATGACATGGGAATACAGAGGGTTACAAGGGGTTACAAGAGATTAAAAGAGGTTACAAGGGGTGACAGTGGGTTACAAGCGGTTACAGTGGGTTACAACGGGTGACAGGGGGTTAAAAGGGGTTACAGATGGTTGCAAGGGGTAACAGGGGGATACAAGGGCTTACAGGCGGTTACAAAGGATGATAGAAGCTTTTTCTAACTAGAACGTTCCCAGATACTTTTTCTTGGTCTGTTTTGTATAAAAATGAAAGTTGAAGAAATCTCAAATTTTTGACCAAAACGATGGACTAACCCCTTTGGAAAAATTCTAATTTTGCGTTTTTGATAAACAGTTGTTTTTAAGGTCTTTAAAGGCTTTTTTTTTATGTAGAACATCAGCAAACACTTTTTCTCGATCTATGTTTAAAAAACACAAAACATGAAAAAACTTTAACTTTTTGACCAAAATCATGGACTATCACCTTTGCAAAAATGCCAATTTTGCCTTCTTTTTAAATCCATGTTTATATTGTCTAGAAAGGCTTGTTTTCTAAGGAGAACGTCACCAAATACTTTTTCTCGGTGTATTTTGCATAAAACGAAACGTTAACAAAATTTCAAATATTTGACCAAAACCAATTTTCTGGGTGTTTCAAACCGATGTTTTCGTTATTCGCAAAGGCTTGTTTGCTATATAAAACGTTTAAAATCGTCTTTTTACGATTTATTTTCACGATCTATGACATGGGAATACCGGGGGTTACCAGGGGTTACAGGAGGTTACAAGGGGTTACAAGGGGTGACAAGAGGTTACAAATGGTTACATGAGGTTACAAGGAGTTACAGCGGGTTACAACGGGTTACAGGAGGTTAAAAGGGGTTACAAGGGGTGACAGGGGGTTACAAGGGGTTACAAGGGCTGACAGGGGGTTAGAAGGGGTTACAGTGGGTTACAACGGGTGACAGGGGGTTACAACGGTTTACAGGGGGTTGCAAGGGGTGACAGGGGGTTACAAGGGGTTACAGGCGGTTACAAAGGATTATAGAAACTTTTTCTAGCTAGAACGTTCCCAGATACTTTTTCTTGGTCCGTTTTGCATAAAAATCAAAGTTGAAGAAATCTCAAATTTTTGACCAAAACGATAGACTAACCCCTTTGGAAAAACTCTAATTTTGCGTTTTCCATAAACAGTTGTTTTTAAAGTCTTTAACGGCTTCTTTTTTATCTAGAACGTCAGGAAACACTTGGAAAAAGGCTTGTTTGGTATATAAAACGTTTAAAATCGTCTTTTTACGATTTATTTTCACGATCTATGACATGGGAATACCGGGGGTTACAAGGGGTTACAAGGGGTTACAAGCGGTTACAAGGGGTGACAAGAGGTTACAAAGGGTTACATGGGGTTAGAAGGGGTACAGGGGATTACAAGGGGTTACAGGAAATTTAAAGGGGTTACAACGGGCGACATGGGGTTACAATGGGTTACAGCCGGTTACAAAGGATTATAGAAATTTTTTCTAACTAGAACGTTGCCAGATACTTTTTCTTGGTCTGTTTTGCATAAAAATCAAAGTTGAAGAAATCTCAAATTTTTGACCAAAACGATGGACTAACCCCTTTGGAAAAATTCTAATTTTGCGTTTTTGATAAACAGTTGTTTTTAAAGTCTTTAAAGGCTTCTTTTTTATCTAGAACGTCAGCAAACACTTTTTCTCGATCTATTTTTAGAAAACACAAAAGAGGAAAAAACTTCAACTTTTTCACCAAAATCATGGACTATCCCCTTTGCAAAAATGCCAATTTTGCCTTTTTTTTTAATCCATGTTTATATTGTCTAGAAAGGCTTGTTTTCTAAGGAGAACGTCACTAAATACTTTTTCTCGGTGTATTTTGCATAAAACGAAACGTTTACAAAATTTCAAATTTTTGACCAAAACCATGGACTAACCCCTTTGGAAAAATGCGAATTTTGTGGGTGTTTGAAACCGATGTTTTGGTTATTCGCAAAGGCTTGTTTGCTATATAAAACGTTTAAAATCGTCTTTTTACGATTTATTTTCACGATCTATGACATGGGAATACAGGTGGTTACAAGGGGTTACAAGGGGTGACAAGAGGTTACAAAGGGTTACAAGGGTTTACAAGGGGTTACAGGGGGTTACAAGGGGTTGCAGGAGATTAAAAGGGGTTACAAGGGGTGACAGAGGGTTACAAGGTGTTACAGTGGGTTACAAGGGGTCTGAGGGGGTTACAATGGTTACAGTGGGTTACAACGGGTGACAGGGGGTTACAAGGGGTTAACGGGGGTTACAAGGGGTTACAGGCGGTTAGAAAAGATTATAGAAACTTTTTCTAACTAGAACGTTGGCAGATACTTTTTCTTGGTCTGTTTTGCATTAAAATCTAAGTTGAAGAAATCTCAAATTTTTTACCAAAACAATGCACTAACCCCTTTGGAAAAATTCTAATTTTGCGTTTTTCCTAAACAGTTGTTTTTAAAGTCTTTAAAGGCTTCTTTTTTTATCTAGAACGTCAGGAAACACTTTTTCTCAGTCTATTTTTAAAAAACACAAAAGATGAAAAAACTTCAACTTTCTGACCAAAATCATGGACTATCCCCTTTGCAAAAATGCAAATTTTTTGGGTGTTTGAAACCGATGTTTTGGTTATTCACAAAGGCTTGTTTGCTATCTAAAACGTTTAAAATCGTCTTTTTAAGATTTATTTTCACGATCTATGACATGGGAATACAGGGGGTTACAAGGAATTACAGGTGGTTACAAGGGGTTACAAGGGGTGACAAGAGGTTACAAAGGGTTACATGGGGTTACAAGGGGCTACAGGCGGTTACAAGGGGTTACACGAGGTTAAAAGGGGTTACAACGGGTGACAGGGGGTTACAAGGGGTTACAGGGAGTTGGAAGGGGTGACAGGGTGTCACAAGGGGTTACAGGCGGTTACAAAGGATTATAGAAATTTTTTCTAACTAGAACGTTCCCAGATACTTTTTCTTGGTCTGTTTTGCATAAAAATCAAAGTTGAAGAAATCTCAATTTTTTGACCAAAACGATGGACTAACCCCTTTGGAAAAACTCTAATTTTGCGTTTTTGATAAACAGTTGTTTTTAAAGTCTTTAAAGGCTTCTTTTTTATGTGGAACGTCAGCAAACACTTTTTCTCGATCTATTTTCAAAAAACACAAAAGATAAAAAAACTTCAACTTTTTAACCAAAATCCTGGACTATCCCCTTTGCAAAAATGCCAATTTGCCTTTTTTTAAATCCATGTTTATATTGTCTAGAAAGGCTTGTTTTTTAAGACGAACGTCACTGAATACTTTTTCTTGGTGTATTTTGCATAAAACGAAACGTTAGCAAAATTTCAAATTTTGACCAAAACCATGGACTAACCCCTTTGGAAAAATGCGAATTTTATGGGTGTTTGAAACCGATGTTTTGGTTATTCACTAGGGCTTGTTTCCTATATAAAACGTCGAAAAATCCTTATTTTAAAATTTATTTTGACGATCTATGACATGGGAATACAAGGGGTTACAAGGAATTACAGGTGGTTACAAGGGGTTACACGGGGTGACAAGGGGTTACAATGGGTTACAGGGGGTTACAAGGGGTTACAGGGTGTTGGAAGGGGTGACAGGGTGTTACAAGGGGTTACAGGCGGTTACAAAGGATTATAGAAATTTTTTCTAACTAGAACGTTCCCAGATACTTTTTCTTGGTCTGTTTTACATAGAAATCAAAGTTGAAGAAATCTCAAATTTTTGACGAAAACGATGGACTAACCCCTTTGGAAAAATTCTAATTTTGCGTTTGGCATAAACAGTTGTTTCTGAAGTCTTTAAAGGCTTCTTTTTTATCTAGAACGTCAGCAACACTTTTTCTCGATCTATTTTTGATAAACACAAAAGATGAAAAAACTTCAACTTTGTGACCAAAATTATGGACTATCCCCTTGGCAAAAATGCCAATTTTTCCTTCTTTTTTAATCCATGTTTATACTGTCTACGAAGGCTTGTTTTCTAAGGAGAACATCACCAAATCCTTTTACTCGGTGTATTTCGCATAAAACGAAACGTTTACAAAATTTCAAATTTTTGACCAAAACCATGGACTAACCCCTTTGGAAAAATGCCAATTTTATGGGTGTTTGAAACCGATGTTTTCGTTATTCACAAAGGCTTGTTTGCTATATAAAACGTTTAAAATCGTCTTTTTACGATTTATTTTCAGGATCTATGACATGGGAATACAGAGGGTTACAAGGGGTTACAAGGGGTGACAAGAGGTTACAAAGGGTTACATGGGGTTACAAGGGGCTACAGGGGGTTACAAGGGGTTACAGGAGGTTAAAAGGGTTTACAACGGGTTACAGGGGGTTACAAGGGGTTACAGGCGGTTACGAAGGATTATAGAAATTTTTTCTAACTAGAACGTTCCCAGATACTTTTTCTTGGTCTGTTTTGCATAAAAATCAAAGTTGAAGAAATCTCAAATTTTTGACGAAAACGATGGACTAACCCCTTTGGAAAAATTCTAATTTTGCGTTTTTGATAAACAGTTGGTTTTAAAGTCTTTAACGGCTTCTTTTTTATGTAGAACGTCAGCAAACACTTTTTCTCGATCTATTTTTACAAAACACAAAAGATGAAAAAACTTCAACTTTTTAACCAAAATCATGGACTATCCCCTTTGCAAAAATGCCAATTTTGCCTTTTTTTTAAATCCATGTTTATACTGTCTACAAAGGCTTGTTTTCTAAGGAGAACATCACCAAATCCTTTTACTCGGTGTATTTCGCATAAAACGAAACGTTTACAAAATTTCAAATTTTTGACCAAAACCATGGACTAACCCCTTTGGAAAAATGCCAATTTTATGGGTGTTTGAAACCGATGTTTTCGTTATTCACAAAGGCTTGTTTGCTATATAAAACGTTTAAAATCGTCTTTTTACGATTTATTTTCACGATCTATGACATGGGAATACAGAGGGTTACAAGGGGTTACAAGGGGTTACAAGGGGTGACAAGAGGTTACAAAGGGTTACATGGGGTTACAAGGGGCTACAGGGGGTTACAAGGGGTTACAGGAGGTTAAAAGGGTTTACAACGGGTTACAGGGGGTTACAAGGGGTTACAGGCGGTTACGAAGGATTATAGAAATTTTTTCTAACTAGAACGTTCCCAGATACTTTTTCTTGGTCTGTTTTGCATAAAAATCAAAGTTGAAGAAATCTCAAATTTTTGACGAAAACGATGGACTAACCCCTTTGGAAAAATTCTAATTTTGCGTTTTTGATAAACAGTTGTTTTTAAAGTCTTTAACGGCTTCTTTTTTATGTAGAACGTCAGCAAACACTTTTTCTCGATCTATTTTTACAAAACACAAAAGATGAAAAAACTTCAACTTTTTAACCAAAATCATGGACTATCCCCTTTGCAAAAATGCCAATTTTGCCTTTTTTTTAAATCCATGTTTATATTGTCTAGAAAGGCTTGTTTTCTAAGGAGAACGTCACCAAATACTTTTTCTCGGTGTATTTTGCATAAAACGAAACGTGTAGAAAATGTCAAATTTTTAACCAAAACCATGGACTAACCCTTTTGGAAAAATGCCAATTTTGTGGGTGTTTGAAACCGATGTTTTGGTTATTCACAAGGGCTTGTTTGCTATATAAAAGGTCGAAAAATCGTTTTTTTACGATTTATTTTGACGATCTATAACATTGGAATTTAGGGGGTTACAAGGAATAACAGGTGGTTACAAGGTTTTACAAGGGGTGAAGGGGGGTTACAATGGGTTACAGGGGGTTACAAGGGGTGACAGGGGGTTACAAGGGGTGACAGGTGGTTACAAGGGGTTACAAGGGGTAACAGGGGTTTACAAGGAGTTACATCGGCTTACAAAGGATTTTAGAACCTTTTTTCAAACTAGAACGTTTCCAGATACTTTTCCTTGGTCTATTTTGCATAAAAATCAAAGTTGAAGAAATGTCAAATTTTTGACCAAAACGATGGACTAACCCCTTAGAAAAAATTCTAATCCTGCGTTTTTGATAAACACTTGTTTTTAAAGTCTTTAAAGGCTTTTTTTTTTATCTAGAACGTCAGCAAACACTTTTTCTCGATCTATTTTTACAAAACACAAAACATCAAAAAACTTCAAATTTTTGACGAAAATCATGGACTATCCCCTTTGCAAAAATACCAATTTTTCTTTTGTTTTAAATCCATGTTTATACTGTCTAGAAAGGGTTGTTTTCTAAGGAGAACGTCACCAAAGACTTTTTCTCGGTGTATTTCGCATAAAACGAAACGTTTAACAAATTTCAAATTTTTGACCGAAACCATGGACTAACCCTTTTGGAAAAATGCGAATTTTGTGGGTGTTTCAAACGGATGTTTTGGTTATTCACAAAGGCTTGTTTGCTAAATAAAACGTTTAAAATCGTCTTTTTAGGATTTATTTTTACGATCTATGATATGGGATTACAGAGGGTTACAAGGGGTTACAGGAGATTAAAAGAGGTTACAAGGGGTGACAGTGGGTTACAAGCGGTTACAGTGGGTTACAAGGGGTGACAGGGGGCTACAAGGGTTACAGTGGGTTACAACGGGTGACAGGGGGTTAAAAGGGGTTACAGGGAGTTGCAAGGGGTAACAGGGGGTTACAAGGGGTTACAGGCGGTTACAAAGGATTATAGAAACTTTTTCTAACTAGAACGTTTCCAGATACTTTTTCTTGGTCTGTTTTGTATAAAAATAAACGTTGAAGAAATGTCAAATTTTTGACCAAAACCATGGACTAACCCCTTTGGAAAAAAGCCAATTTTGTGGGTGTTTGAAACCGATGTTTTCGTTATTCGCAAAGGCTTGTTTGCTATATAAAACGTTTAAAATCGTCTTTTTCCGATTTATTTTCACGATCTATGACATGGGAATACAGGGGGTTACAAGGGATTCCAGGGGGTTACAAGGGTTGACAAGAGGTTACAAAGGGTTATATGAGGTTTCAAGGAGTTACAGGAGGTTACAAGGGGTTACAACGGGTGACAGGGGGTTACAAGGGGTTACAGTGGGTTACAAGGGCTGACAGGGGGTTACAAGGGGTTACAGTGGGTTACAACGGGTGATAGGGGGTTAGAACGGTTTACAGGGGGTTGCAAGGGGTGACAGGGGGTTACAAGGCGTTAGAGGCGGTTACAAAGGATTGTAGAAACTTTTTCTAACTAGAACGTTCCCAGATACTTTTTCTTGGTCCGTTTTGCATAAAAATCAAAGTTGAAGAAATCTCAAATTTTTGAACTAAACGTTAGACTAACCCCTTTGGAAAAACCCTAATTTTCCGTTTTTCATAAACAGTTGTTTTTAAAGTCTTTAAAGGCTTCTTTTTTATCTAGAACCTCAGCAAACACTTTTTCTCGATCTATTTTTGATAAACACAAAAGATGAAAAAACTTCAACTTTCTGACCAAAATCATGGACTATCCCCTTTGCAAAAATGCCAATTTTTCCTTCTTTTTTAATCCATGTTTATACTGTCTAGGAAGGCTTGTTTTCTAAGAAGAACGTCACCAAATACTTTTTTTCGGTGTATTTTGCATAAAACGAAACGTTTACAAAATTTCAAATTTTTGACCAAAAGCATGGAGTAACCCCTTTGGAAAAATGCGAATTTTGTGGGTGTTTGAAACCGATGTTTTCGTTATTCACAAAGGCTTGTTTGCTATATAAAACGTTTAAAATCGTCTTTTTATGATTTATTTTCACGATCTATGACATGGGAATACAGGGGGTTACAAGGGGTTACAATGGGTTACAAGGGGTGACAAGAGGTTACAAAGGGTTACATGGGGTCACATGGGAATACAGGGGGTTACAAGGGGTTACAAGGGGTTACAAGGGGTTACAAGGGGTTACAAGGGGTGACAAGAGGTTACAAAGGGTTACATGGGGTCACAAGGGGCTACAGGGGGTTACAAGGGGTTACAGGAGGTTAAAAGTGGTTACAATGGGTGACAGGGGGTTACTAGGGGTTAAAGGCGGTTACAAAGAATTATAGAAATTTTTTCTAACTAGAACCTTCCCAGATACTTTTTCTTGGCCTGTTTTGCATAAAAATCAAAGTTGAAGAAATCTCAAATTTTTTACCAAAACGATGGACTAACCCCTTTGGAAAAATTCTAATTTTGCGTTTTTGATAAACAGTTGTTTTTAAAGTCTTTAAAGGCTTCTTTTTTATCTAGAACGTTAGCAAACACTTTTTCTCGATCTATTTTCAAAAAACACAAAAGATGAAAAAACTTCAACTTTTTGACCAAAATCATAGACTATCCCCTTTGCAAAAATGCCAATTTTGCCTTTTTTTTAAATCCATGTTTATATTGTCTAGAAAGGCTTGTTTTCTAAGGAGAACGTCACCAAATACTTTTTCTCGGTGTATTTTGCATAAAACGAAACGTTAAAAAATTCCAAATTTTTGACCAAAACCATGGACTAACCCCTTTGGAAAAATACGAATTTTGTGGGTGTTTGAAACCGATGTTTTGGTTATTCACTAGGGCTTGTTTGCTATATAAAACGTCGAGAAATCGTTATTTTACGATTTATTTTCACGATCTATGACATGGGAATACAAGGGGTTACAAGGAATTACAGGTGGTTACACGGGGTTATAAGGGGTGACAAGCGGTTACAATGGGTTACAGGGGGTTACAAGGGGTTACAGGAGGTTACAAGGGGTTACAAGGGGTGACAGGGGGTTACAAGGCGTTTCAAGGGGTTACAAGGGAATACAGTGGGTACAAATGATTATATAAACTTTTTCTAAGTTGAACGTTGCAGATACTTTTTGTTGCTCTGTTTTGCATAAAAATCAAAGTTGAAGAAATCTCAAATTTTTGACCTAAACGATGGACTAACCCCTTTGGAAAAATTCTAATTTTGCGTTTTTCATAAACACTTGTTTTTGAAGTCTTTAAAGGCTTCTTTTTTATGTAGAACGTCAGCAAACACTTTTTCTCGATCTATTTTTAAAAACCACAAAAGATGAAAAAACTTCAACTTTTTGACCAAAATCATGGACTATCCTCTTTGCAAAAATGCCAATTTTGCCTTTTTTTTAAATCCATGTTTATATTGTCTAGAAAGGCTTGTTTTCTAAGGAGAACGTCACCAAATACTTTTTCTCGGTGTATTTTGCATAAAACGAAACGTTAACAAAATTTCAAATTTTTCACCGAAACCATGGACTAACCCCTTTGCCAAAAAGCCAATTTTGTGGGTGTTTGAAACCGATGTTTTCGTTATTCGCAATGGCTTGTTTGCTATATAAAACGTTTAAAATCGTCTTTTCACGATTTATTTTCACGATCTATGACATGGGAATACAGGGGGTTACAAGGGGTTACAGGAGGTTACAAGGGGTGACAAGAGGTTACAAAGCGTTACATGAGGTTACAAGGGGCTACAGAGGGTTACAAGGGGTTACAGGAGGTTAAAAGGGGTTACAACGGGTGACAGGGGGTTAAAGGGGTTACAGGCGGTTACAAAGGATTGTAGAAAATTTTTCTAACTAGAACATTCCGAGATAGTTTTTCTTGGTCTGTTTTGCATAAAAATCAAAGTTGAAGAAATCTCAAATTTTTTACCAAAACGATGTACTAACCCCTTTGGAAAAATTCTAATTTTCCGTTTTTTATAAACACTTGTTTTTGAAGTCTTTAAAGGCTTCTTTTTTATCTAGAACGTCAGCAAACACTTTTTCTCGATCTATTTTTAAAAAAACACAAAAGATGAAAAAACTTCAACTTTTTGGCCAAAATCATGGACTATGCCCTTTGCAAAAATGCCAATTTTGCCTTTTTTTTAAATGCATGTTTATATTGTCTAGAAAGGCTTCTTTTGTAAGAAGAACGTCACCAAATACTTTTTCTCGGTGTATTTTGCATAAAACGAAACATTAACAAAATTTCAAATTTTGACCAAAACCATGGACTAACCCCTTTGGAAAAATGCCAATGTTGTGGGTGTTTGAAACCGATGTTGTGGTTATTCAGTAGGGCTTGTTTGCTATATAAAACGTCGAAAAATCGTTATTTTACCATTTATTTTGACGATCTATGACATGGGAATACAAGGGGTTACAAGGAATTACAGGAGGTTACAAGGGGTTACAAGGGGTGACAAGGGGTTACAGGGGGTTACAAGGGGTTACAGGGGGTTACAATGGGTTACATTGGGTTACAAGGGGTTACAGGGGGTTACAAGGGGTTACAGGGGGTTACAAGGGGTTACAGGGGGATACAATGGGTTACAAGGGGTGACAGGGGGTTACAAGGGGTTACAAGGGAATACAGGGGGTTGTAAAGGATTTTAGAAACTTTTTCTAACTAGACCGTTCCCAGATACTTTTTCTTGGTCTGTTTTGCATAAAAATCAAAGTTGAAGAAATCTGAAATGTTTGACGAAAACGATGGACTAACCCCTTTGGAAAAATTCTAATTTTGTGTTTGTCATAAACAGTTGTTTCTGAAGTCTTTAAATGCTTCTTTTTTATCTAGAACGTCAGCAACACTTTTTCTCGATCTATTTTTGATAAAGACAAAACATGAAAAAACTTCAACTTTCTGACCAAAATCATGGACTATTCCCTTTGCAAAAATGCTAATTTTGCCTTCTCTTTTAATCCATGTTTATACTGTCTAGAAAGGCTTGTTTTCTAAGGACAACGTCACCAAATCCTTTTACTCGGTGTATTTTGCATAAAACGAAACGTTTACAAAATTTCAAATTTTTGACCAAAACCATGGACTAACCCCTTTGGAAAAATGCCAGTGTTATGGGTGTTTGAAACCGATGTTTTCGTTATTCACAAAGGCTTGTTTGCTATATAAAACGTTTAAAATCGTCTTTTACGATTTATTTTCACGATCTATGACATGGGAATACAGGGGGTTACAAGGGGTGACAAGAGGTTACAAAGGGTTACATGGGGTTACAAGGGGCTACAGGGGGTTACAAGGTGTTACAGGAGGTTAAAAGGGGTTACAACGGGTGACAGGGGGTTACAAGGGGTTACAAGGGGTGACAGGGGTTTATAAGGAGTTACATGGGGTTACAAAGGATTTTAGAACCTTTTTTCAAACTATAACGTTTCCAGATACTTTTCCTTCGTCTATTTTGCATAAAAATCAAAGTTGAAGAAATGTCAAACTTTGGACCAAAACGATGGACTAACCCCTTAGGAAAAATTCTAACGCTGCGTTTTTCACAAACAGTTGTTTTTAAAGTCTTTAAAGGCTTCTTTTTTATCTAGAACCTCAGCAAACACTTTTTCTCGATCTATTTTTGATAAAGACAAAAAATGAAAAAACTTCAAATTTTTAACGAAAATCATGGACTATCCCCTGTGCAAAAATGCCAATTTTGCCTTTTTTAAAAAATCCATGTTGATACTGTGTAGAAAGGCTTGTTTTCTAAGGAGAACGTCACCAAAGACTTTTTCTCGGTGTATTTCGCATAAAACGAAACGTTTAGAAAATTTCAAATTTTTGACCGAAACGATGGACTAACCCCTTTGGAAAACTGCGAATTTTATGGGTGTTTGAAACCGATCTTTTCGTTCTTCACAAAGGCTTGTTTGCTAAATAAAACGTTTAAAATCGTCTTTTTAAGATTTATTTTTACGATCTATGACATGGGAATACCGGGGGTTACAAGGGGTTACAAGGGGTGACAAGAGGTTACAAAGGGTTACAGGGGGTTACAAGGGGTTACAGGGGGTTACAAGGGGTTACAAGGGGTGACAAGAGGTTACAAAGGGTAAAATGGGGTTACAAGGGGCTACAAAGGGTTACAAGGGGTTACAGGAGGTTACAAGGGGTTACAAGGGGTGACAGGGGGTTACAAGGCGTTTCAAGGGGTTACAGGGGGTTGCAAGGGAATACAGGGGGTACAAAGACTTTATATAAACTTTTTCTAAGTAGAACGTTCCCAGATACTTTTTCTTGCTCTGTTTTGCATAAAAATCAAAGTTGAAGAAATCTCAAATTTTTTTCTCAAAACGATGTACTAACCCCTTTGGAAAAATTCTAATTTTCCGTTTTTCATAAACACTTGTTTTTGAAGTCTTTAAAGGCTTCTTTTTTATCTAGAACGTCAGCAAACACTTTTTCTCGATCTATTTTTAAAAAACACAAAAGATGAAAAAACTTAACTTTTTGACCAAAATCATGGACTATCCCCTTTGCAAAAATGCCAATTTTGCCTTTTTTTTAAATCCATGTTTATATTGTCTAGAAAGGCTTGTTTTCTAAGAAGAACGTCACCAAATACGTTTTCTCGGTGTATTTTGCATAAACGAAACGTTAACAAAATTTCAAATTTTTGACCAAAACCATGGACTAACCCCTTTGGAAAAATGCCAATTTCGTGGGTGTTTGAAACCGATGTTTTGGTTATTCACAAGGGCTTGTTTGCTATATAAAACGTCGAAAAATCGTTATTTTACGATTTATTTTGACGATGTATGACATGGGAATAGAAGAGGTTACAAGGAATTGCAGGAGGTTACAAGGGGTTACAAGGGGTGACAAGGGGTTGCAATGGGTTACAGGGGGTTACAAGGGATTACAAGGGGTTACAAGGGGTGACAGGGGGTTACAAGGGGTGACAGGGGCTTTCAAGGGGTGACAGGTGGTTACAAGGGGTTACAAGGGGTGACAGGGGTTTATAAGGAGTTACATGGGGTTACAAAGGATTTTAGAACCTTTTTTCAAACTAGAACGTTTCCAGATACTTTTCCTTGGTCTATTTTGCATAAAAATCAAAGTTGAAGAAATGTCAAATTTTTGACCAAAACGATGGACTAACCCCTTAGGAAAAATTCTAATTTTGCGTTTTTCATAAACAGTTGTTTTTAAAGTCTTTAAAGGCTTCTTTTTTATCTAGAACCTCAGCAAACACTTTTTCTCGATCTATTTTTGATAAAGACAAAAAATGAAAAAACTTCAAATTTTTGACGAAACTCATGGACTATCCCCTGTGCAAAAATGCCAATTTTGCCTTTTTTTAAAAATCCATGTTGATACTGTGTAGAAAGGCTTGTTTTCTAAGGAGAACGTCACCAAAGACTTTTTCTCGGTGTATTTCGCATAAAACGAAACGTTTACAAAATTTCAAATTTTTGACCGAAACCATGGACTAACCCCTTTGGAAAAATGCGAATTTTATGGGTGTTTGAAACCGATGTTTTCGTTATTCACAAAGGCTTCTTTGCTAAATAAAACGTTTAAAGTCGTCTTTTTACGATTTATTTTTACGATCTATGACATGGGAATACAGGGGGTTACAAGGGGTTACAAGGGGTAACAAGAGGTTACAAAGGGTTACAGGAGGTTACAGGGGGTTACAAGGGGTTACAAGGGGTGACAAGAGGTTACAAAGGGTTACATGGGGTTTCAAGGGGCTACAGAGGGTTACAAGGGGTTACACGAGGTTAAAAGGGGTTACAACGGGTGACAGGGGGTTCCAAGGGGTTACAGGCGGTTACAAAGGATTATAGAAACTTTTTCTAAGTAGAACGTTCCCAGATAGTTTTTCTTGCTCTGTTTTGCATAAAAATCAAAGTTGAAGAAATCTCGAATTTTTTACCAAGACGATGGACTAACCCCTTTGGAAAAATTCTAATTTTGCGTTTTTCATAAACAGTTGTTTTTACAGTCTTTAAAGGCTTCTTTTTTATGTAGAACGACAGCAAACACTTTTTCTCGATCTATTTTTAAAAAACACAAAAGAAGAAAAAACTTCAACTTTTTAACCAAAATCATGGACTATCCCCTTTGCAAAAATGCCAATTTTGCCTTTTTTTTAAATGCATGTTTATATTGTCTAGAAAGGCTTGTTTTCTAAGGAGAACGTCACCAAATACTTTTTCTCGGTGTATTTTGCATAAAACGAAACGTTCACAAAATTTTAAATTTTTGGCCGAAACCATGGACTAAACCCTTTGGAAAAATGCGAGTTTTTTGGGTGTTTAAAACCGATGATTTGGTTATTCACAAGGGCTTGTTTGCTATATAAAACGTCGGGAAATCGTTTTTTTACGATTTTTTTTTACGATCTATGACATGGGAATACAAGGGCTTACAAGAAATTGCAGGTGGTTACAAGGGGTTACAAGGGGTTACAATGGGTTACAGGGGATTACAAGGGGTTACAGGGAGTTACAAGGGGTTACAAGGGGTGACAGGGGGTTACAAGGCGTTTTAAGGGGTTACAGGGGGTTAGAAGGCAATACAGGGGGTACAAAGGATTATAGAAACTTTTTCTAACTAGAACGTTCCCAGATACTTTTTCTTGGTCCGTTTTCCATAAAAATCAAAGTTGAAGAAATCTCAAATTTTTTACCAAAACGATGTACTAACCCCTTTGGAAAAATTCTAATTTTGCGTTTTTCATAAACACTTGTTTTTGAAGTCTTTAAAGGCTTCTTTTTTATCTAGAACGTCAGCAAACACTTTTTCTCGATCTATTTTTAAAAAACACAAAAGATGAAAAAACTTCAACTTTTTGACCAAAATCATGGACTATCCCCTTTGCAAAAATGCCAATTTTGCCTTTTTTTTAAATGCATGTTTATATTGTCTAGAAAGGCTTGTTTTGTAAGAAGAACGTCAGCAAATACTTTTTCTCGGTGTATTTTGCATAAAACGAAACGTTAACAAAATTTCAAATTTTGACCAAAACCATGGACTAGCCCCTTTGGAAAAATGCCAATTTTGTGGGTGTTTGAAACCGATGTTTTGGTTATTCACTAGGGCTTGTTTGCTATATAAAACGTCGAAAAATCGTTATTTTACAATTTATTTTGACGATCTATGACATGGGAATACAAGGGTTTAAAAGGAATTACAGGAGGTTACAAGGGGTTACAAGGGGTGACAAGGGGTTACAATGGGTTAAAGGGGGTTACAAGGGGTTGCAGGGGGTTACAAGGGGTTACTTGGGGTTACAGTGGGTTACAGGGGATTACAAGGGGTTACAGGGGGTTACAAGGGGTGAGAGGGGGTTACAAGGGGTTACAAGGGAATACAGGGGGTTATAAAGGATTATAGAAACTTTTTCTAACTAGACCGTTCCCATATACTTTTTCTTGGTCTGTTTTGCATAAAAATCAAAGTTGAAGAAATCTCAAATTTTGACGAAAACGATGGACTAACCCCTTTGGAAAAATTCTAATTTTGCGTTTGTCATAAACAGGTCTTTCTGAAGTCTTTAAAGGCTTCTTTTTTATCTAGAACGTCAGCAACACTTTTTCTTGATCTATTTTTGATAAAGACAAAACATGAAAAAACTTCAGCTTTCTGACCAAAATCATGGAATATCCCCTTTGCAAAAATGCTAATTTTGCCTTCTTTTTTAATCCATGTTTATACTGTCTAGAAAGGCTTGTTTTCTAAGGAGAACGTCAACAAATCCTTTTACTCGGTGTATTTCGCATAAAACGAAACGTTTACAAAATTTCAAATTTTTGACCAAAACCATGGACTAACCCCTTTGGAAAAATGCCAATTTTGTGGGTGTTTGAAACCGATGTTTTGGTTATTCACAAGGGCTTGTTTGCTATATAAAACGTCGAAAAATCGTTATTTTACGATTTATTTTGACGATCTATGACATGGAAATAGAAGGGGTTACAAGGAATTGCAGGTGGTTACAAGGGGTTACAAGGGGTGACAAGGGGTTACAAGCGGTTACAGGGGGTTACAAAGGGTTACAAGGGGTTACAATGGGTTACAAAGGGTTACAGGGGGTTACAAGGGGTTACAAGGGGTGACAGGGGCTTTCAAGGGGTGACAGGTGGTTACAAGGGGTTACAAGGGGTGACAGGGGTTTATAAGGAGTTACATGGGGTTACAAAGGATTTTAGAACCTTTTTTCAAACTAGAACGTTTCCAGATACTTTTCCTTGGTCTATTTTGCATAAAAATCAAAGTTGAAGAAATGTTAAATTTTTGATCAAAACGATGGACTAACCTCTTAGGAAAAATTCTAATGCTGTGTTTTTTATAAACAGTTGTTTTTAAAGTCTTTAAAGTCTTCTTTTTTATCTAGAACGTCAGCAAACACTTTTTCTCGATCTATTTTTGATAAACACAAAAAATGACAAAAACTTCAAATTTTTGACGAAAATCGTTAACTATCCCCTGTGCAAAAATGCCAATTTTGCCTTTTTTTAAAATCCATGTTGATACTGTCTAGAAAGGCTTGTTTTCTAAGGAGAACGTCACCAAAGACTTTTTCTCGGTGTATTTCGCATAAAACGAAACGTTTACAAAATTTCAAATTTTCGACCGAAACCATGGACTAACCCCTTTGGAAAAATGCGAATTTTATGGGTGTTTGAAACCGATGTTTTCGTTATTCACAAAGGCTTGTTTCCTAAATAAAACGTTTAAAATCGTCTTTTTACGATTTATTTGTACGATCTATGACATGGGAATACAGGGGGTTACAAAGGGTGACAAGAGGTTACAAAGGGTTACAGGGGGTTAGAAGGGAATACAGGGGGTACAAAGGATTATAGAAACTTTTTCTAACTAGAACGTTCCCAGATACTTTTTCTTGGTGCGTTTTGCATAAAAATCAAAGTTGAAGAAATCTCAAATTTTTTACCAAAACGATGTACTAACCCCTTTGGAAAAATTCTAATTTTGCGTTTTTCATAAACACTTGTTTTTGAAATCTTTAAAGGCTTTTTTTTTATCTAGAACGTCACCAAACACTTTTTCTCGATCTATTTTTAAAAAACACAAAAGATGAAAAAACTTCAACTTTTTGACCAAAATCATGGACTATCCCCTTTGCAAAAATGCCAATTTTCCCTTTTTTTTAAATGCATGTTTATATTGTCTAGAAGGGCTTGTTTTGTAAGAAGAACGTCAACAAATACTTTTTCTCGGTGTATTTTGCATAAAACGAAACGTTAACAAAATTTCAAATTTTGACCAAAACCATGGACTAGCCCCTTTGGAAAAATGCCAATTTTGTGGGTGTTTGAAACCGATGTTTTGGTTATTCACTAGGGCTTGTTTGCTATATAAAACGTCGAAAAATCGTTATTTTACAATTTATTTTGACGATCTATGACATGGGAATACAAGGGGTTAAAAGGAATTACAGGTGGTTACAAGGGGTTACAAAGGGTGACAAGGGGTTACAATGGGTTACAGGGGGTTACAAGGGGTTACAGGAGGTTACAATGGGTTACAGGGGGTTACAAGGGGTTACAGTTGGTTACAAGGGGTTACAGGGGGTTACAAGGGGTGACAGGGGGTTACAAGGTGTTACAAGGGAATACAGGGGGTTATAAAGGATTATAGAAACTTTTTCTAACTAGACCGTTCCCAGATACTTTTTCTTGGTGCGTTTTGCATAAAAATCAAAGTTGAAGAAATCTCAAATTTTTTACCAAAACGATGTACTAACCCCTTTGGAAAAATTCTAATTTTGCGTTTGTCATAAACAGTTGTTTCTGAGGTCTTTAAAGGCTTCTTTTTTATCTAGAACGTCAGCAACACTTTTTCTTGATCTATTTTTGATAAACACAAAAGATGAAAAAACTTCAACTTTCTGACCAAAATCATGGACTATCCCCTTTGCAAAAATGCCAATTTTGCCTTCTTTTTAAATCCATGTTTATACTGTTTAGAAAGGCTTGTTTTCTAAGGAGAACGTCAACAAATCCTTTTACTCGGTGTATTTCGCATAAAACGAAACGTTTACAAAATTTCAAATTTTTGACCAAAACCATGGACTAACCCCTTTGGAAAAATGCGAATTTTATGGGTGTTTGAAACCGATGTTTTCGTTATTCACAAAGGCTTGTTTGCTAAATAAAACGTTTAAAATCGTCTTTTTACGATTTATTTTCACGATCTATGACATCGGAATACCGGGGGTTACAAGGGGTTACAAGGGGTAACAAGAGGTTACAAAGGGTTACAAGGGGTTACAAGGGGTGACAGTGGGTTACAAGGGGTTACAGGGGGTTTCAAGGGATGACAGGGGGTTACTAGGGTTACAGTGGGTTACAACGGGTGACAGGGGGTTACAAGGGGTTACAAGGGGTAACAGGGGGTTACAAGGGGTTACCGGCGGTTACAAACGATTATAGAAACTTTTTCTAACTAGAACGTTCCCAGGTACTTTTTCTTGGTCTGTTTTGCATAAAAATGAAAGTTAAAAGAAATCTCAACTTTTTGACCCAAACGATGGACTAACCCCTTTGGAAAAATTCTAATTTTGCGTTTTTCATAAACAGGTGTTTTTAAAGTCTTTAAAGGTTTTTTTTTATCTTATTTGTCCTTTTTTTAAAATCAATGATTATATTGTCTAGAAGGGCTTGTTATCTAAGAAGAACGTCACCAAATACTTTTTCTCGGTGTATTTCGCATAAAACGAAACGTTAACGAAATTTCAAATTTTTGACCGAAACCATGGACCTTTGGAATGATGCTAATTTTGTGGGTCTTTGAAACCGATGTTTTGGTTATTCACAAGGGCTTGTTTGCTATATAAAACGTTGAAAAATCGTTTTTTTTTTGCGATTTATTTTGGTAATCCATGACATTGGAATACAAGGGGTTACCAGGAATTACAGGTAGTTACAAGGGGTGACAAGGGGTTACAATGGGTTACAGGGGGTTACAAGGGGTTACAGGGGGTTAGAATGGATTACAGAGGGTTACAATGGGTTACTGGGGGTTACAAGGGGTTACAGGGGGTTACAAGGGAATACAGGGAGTTACAAAGGATTATGGAAACTTTTTCTAACTAGAACGTTCCCGGATACTTTTTCTTGGTCTGTTTTGCATAACAAATCAAAGTTGAAGAAATCTCAAATTTTTGACCAAAACCATGGACTAATCCCCTTTGGATAAATGCCAATTTTGGTGGGTGTGTGAAACCGATGTTTTCGTTATTCGCAAAGGCTTGTTTGCTATATAAAACGTTTAAAATCGTCTTTTTACAAGTTATTTTCACGATCTGTGACATGGGAATACAAGGGGTTACAAGGGGTTACAGGAGGTTACAAGGGGTTACAACGGGTGACAAGAGGTTACAAAGGGTTACATGAGGTTAAAAGGGGTTACAAGGAGTGACAGGGGGTTACAAGGGGTTACAGTGGGTTACAAGGGCTGACAGGGGGTTACAAGGGGTTACAGTGGGTTACAATGGGTGACAGGGGGTTACAACGGCTTACAAGGGGTTGCAAGGGGTGACAGGGGAATACAAGGGGTTACAGGCGGTTAAAAAGGATTATCGAAACTTTTTCTAACTAGAACGTTCTCAGATACTTTTTCTTGGTCCGTTTTGCATAACAAATCAAAGTTGAAGAAATCTCAAATTTTTGACCAAAACGATAGACTAACCCCTTTGGAAAAACTCTAATGTTGCGTTTTTCATAAACAGTTGTTTTTAAAGTCTTTAAAGGCTTCTTTTTTATCTAGAACGTCAGCAAACACTTTTTCTCGATCTATTTTTGATAAACACAAAAGATGAAGAAACTTCAACTTTTTGAGCAAAATCATGGACTATCCCCTTTGCAAAAAAGGCAATTTTGCCTTTTTTTCAAATTTATGTTTATATTGTCTAGAAAGGCTTGTTTTCTAAGGAGAACGTCACCAAATACTTTTTCTCGGTGTATTTTGCATAAAACGAAACGTTAACAAAATTTCAAATTTTTGACCAAAACCATGGACTAACCCCTTTGGAAAAATGCGAATTTCGTGGGTGTTTGAAACCGATGTTTTGCTTATTCACAAGGGCTTGTTTGCTATATAAAACGTCGAAAAATCGTTTTTTTACGATTTATTTTGACGATCTATGACATGGGAATACAATGGGTTACAAGGAATTACTGGTGGTTACAACGGGTTACAAGGGGTTACAATGGGTTACAGCGGGTTACAAGGGGTTACAGGGGGTTACAATGGGTTACAGGGGGTTACAAGGTGTTACAAGGGGTGACAGGGGGTTACTAAGGGTTACAGGGGGTTACAAGGGAATACAGGGAGTTAGAAAGGATTATGCAAACTTCTTCTAACTAGAACGTTCCCGGATACTTTTTCTTGGTCTGTTTTGCATAAAAATGAAAGTTGAAGAAGTCTCAAATTTTTGACCAAAACGATGGACTAACCCCTTTGGAAAAACTCTAATTTTGCGTTTTTCATAAATAGTTGTTTTTAAAGTCTTTAAAGGCTTCTTTTTTATCTAGAACGTCAGCAAACAGTTTTTCTCGATCTATTTTTGATAAACACAAAAGATGAAAAAACTTCAACTTTCTGACCAAAATCATGGACTATCCCCTTTGCAAAAATGCCAATTTTGCCTTCTTTTTAAATGCATGTTTATATTGTCTAGAAAGGCTTGTTTTCTAAGATGAACGTCACCAAATACTTTTTCTCGGTGTATTTCGCATCAAACGAAACGTTTACAAAATTTCAAATTTTTGACCAAAACCATGGATTAACCCCTTTGGAAAAATGCCAATTTTGGTGGGTGTGTGAAACCGATGTTTTCGTTATTCGCAAAGGCTTGTTTGCTATATAAAACGTTTAAAATCGTCTTTTTACAAGTTATTTTTTCGATCTGTGACATGGGAATACAAGGGGTTACAAGGGGTTACAGGAGGTTACAAGGGGTTACAACGGGTGACAAGAGGTTAGAAAGGGTTACATGAGGTTAAAAGGGGTTACAGGGGGTTGCAAGGGGTTACAGGAGGTTAAAAGGGGTTACAAGGAGTGACAGGGGGTTACAAGGGGTTACAGTGGGTTACAAGGGCTGACAGGGGGTTACAAGGGGTTACAGTGGGTTACAATGGGTGACAGGGGGTTACAACGGCTTACAAGGGGTTGCAAGGGGTGACAGGGGAATACAAGGGGTTACAGGCGGTTAAAAAGGATTATCGAAACTTTTTCTAACTAGAACGTTCTCAGATACTTTTTCTTGGTCCGTTTTCCATAACAAATCAAAGTTGAAGAAATCTCAAATTTTTGACCAAAACGATAGACTAACCCCTTTGGAAAAACTCTAATGTTGCGTTTTTCATAAACAGTTGTTTTTAAAGTCTTTAAAGGCTTCTTTTTTATCTAGAACGTCAGCAAACACTTTTTCTCGATCTATTTTTGATAAACACAAAAGATGAAGAAACTTCAACTTTTTGAGCAAAATCATGGACTATCCCCTTTGCAAAAAAGGCAATTTTGCCTTTTTTTCAAATTTATGTTTATATTGTCTAGAAAGGCTTGTTTTCTAAGGAGAACGTCACCAAATACTTTTTCTCGGTGTATTTTGCATAAAACGAAACGTTAACAAAATTTCAAATTTTTGACCAAAACCATGGACTAACCCCTTTGGAAAAATGCGAATTTCGTGGGTGTTTGAAACCGATGTTTTGCTTATTCACAAGGGCTTGTTTGCTATATAAAACGTCGAAAAATCGTTTTTTTACGATTTATTTTGACGATCTATGACATGGGAATACAATGGGTTACAAGGAATTACTGGTGGTTACAACGGGTTACAAGGGGTGACAAGGGGTTACAATGGGTTACAGCGGGTTACAAGGGGTTACAATGGGTTACAGGGGGTTACAAGGTGTTAGAAGGGGTGACAGGGGGTTACTAAGGGTTACAGGGGGTTACAAGGGAATACAGGGAGTTAGAAAGGATTATGGAAACTTCTTCTAACTAGAACGTTCCCGGATACTTTTTCTTGGTCTGTTTTGCATAAAAATGAAAGTTGAAGAAGTCTCAAATTTTTGACCAAAACGATGGACTAACCCCTTTGGAAAAACTCTAATTTTGCGTTTTTCATAAATAGTTGTTTTTAAAGTCTTTAAAGGCTTCTTTTTTATCTAGAACGTCAGCAAACAGTTTTTCTCGATCTATTTTTGATAAACACAAAAGATGAAAAAACTTCAACTTTCTGACCAAAATCATGGACTATCCCCTTTGCAAAAATGCCAATTTTGCCTTCTTTTTAAATGCATGTTTATATTGTCTAGAAAGGCTTGTTTTCTAAGATGAACGTCACCAAATACTTTTTCTCGGTGTATTTCGCATCAAACGAAACGTTTACAAAATTTCAAATTTTTGACCAAAACCATGGATTAACCCCTTTGGAAAAATGCCAATTTTGGTGGGTGTGTGAAACCGATGTTTTCGTTATTCGCAAAGGCTTGTTTGCTATATAAAACGTTTAAAATCGTCTTTTTACAAGTTATTTTCACGATCTGTGACATGGGAATACAAGGGGTTACAAGGGGTTACAACGGGTGACAAGAGGTTACAAAGGGTTACATGAGGTTAAAAGGGGTTACAGGGGGTTGCAAGGGGTTACAGGAGGTTAAAAGGGGTTACAAGGAGTGACAGGGGGTTACAAGGGGTTACAGTGGGTTACAAGGGCTGACAGGGGGTTACAAGGGGTTACAGTGGGTTACAATGGGTGACAGGGGGTTACAACGGGTTACAAGGGGTTGCAAGGGGTGACAGGGGAATAGAAGGGGTTACAGGCGGTTAAAAAGGATTATCGAAACTTTTTCTAACTAGAACGTTCTCAGATACTTTTTCTTGGTCCGTTTTGCATAACAAATCAAAGTTGAAGAAATCTCAAATTTTTGACCAAAACGATAGACTAACCCCTTTGGAAAAACTCTAATGTTGCGTTTTTCATAAACAGTTGTTTTTAAAGTCTTTAAAGGCTTCTTTTTTATCTAGAACGTCAGCAAACACTTTTTCTCGATCTATTTTTGATAAACACAAAAGATGAAGAAACTTCAACTTTTTGAGCAAAATCATGGACTATCCCTTTGCAAAAAAAGGCAATTTTGCCTTTTTTCAAATTTATGTTTATATTGTCTAGAAAGGCTTGTTTTCTAAGGAGAACGTCACCAAATACTTTTTCTCGGTGTATTTTGCATAAAACGAAACGTTAACAAAATTTCAAATTTTTGACCAAAACCATGGACTAACCCCTTTGGAAAAATGCGAATTTCGTGGGTGTTTGAAACCGATGTTTTGCTTATTCACAAGGGCTTGTTTGCTATATAAAACGTCGAAAAATCGTTTTTTTACGATTTATTTTGACGATCTATGACATGGGAATACAATGGGTTACAAGGAATTACTGGTGGTTACAACGGGTTACAAGGGGTGACAAGGGGTTACAATGGGTTACAGCGGGTTACAAGGGGTTACAGGGGGTTACAATGGGTTACAGGGGGTTACAAGGTGTTACAAGGGGTGACAGGGGGTTACTAAGGGTTACAGGGGGTTACAAGGGAATACAGGGAGTTAGAAAGGATTATGGAAACTTCTTCTAACTAGAACGTTCCCGGATACTTTTTCTTGGTCTGTTTTGCATAAAAATGAAAGTTGAAGAAGTGTCAAATTTTTGACCAAAACGATGGACTAACCCCTTTGGAATAACTCTAATTTTGCGTTTTTCATAAATAGTTGTTTTTAAAGTCTTTAAAGGCTTCTTTTTTATCTAGAACGTCAGCAAACAGTTTTTCTCGATCTATTTTTGATAAACACAAAAGATGAAAAAACTTCAACTTTCTGACCAAAATCATGGACTATCCCCTTTGCAAAAATGCCAATTTTGCCTTCTTTTTAAATGCATGTTTATATTGTCTAGAAAGGCTTGTTTTCTAAGATGAACGTCACCAAATACTTTTTCTCGGTGTATTTCGCATCAAACGAAACGTTTACAAAATTTCAAATTTTTGACCAAAACCATGGATTAACCCCTTTGGAAAAATGCCAATTTTGGTGGGTGTGTGAAACCGATGTTTTCGTTATTCGCAAAGGCTTGTTTGCTATATAAAACGTTTAAAATCGTCTTTTTACGATTTATTTTCACGATCTACGACATGGGTATACCGGGGGTTACAAGGGGTTAGAGGAGGTTACAAGGGGTTACAAGGGGTGGCAAGAGGTTACAAAGGATTACATGAGGTTACAAGGAGTGACAGGGGGTTACAAGGGGTTATCGAAACTTTTTCTAACTAGAACGTTCCCAGATACTTTTTCTTGGTCGGTTTTGCATAAAAATCAAAGTTGAAGAAATCTCAAATTTTTGACCAAAACAATAGACTAACCCCTTTGGAAAAACTCTGATTTTGCGTTTTTCATAAACAGTTGTTTTTAAAGTCTTTAAAAGCTTCTTTTTTATCTAGAACGTCAGCAAACACTTTTTTTCGAACTATTTTTTATAAACACAAAACATGAAAAAACTTCAACTTTTTGACCAAAATCATGGACTATCCCATTTGCAAAAATGCCAATTTTGCTTTTTTTCCAAATTTATGTTTATATTGTCTAGAAAGGCTTGTTTTCTAAGGAGAACGTCACCAAATACTTTTTCTCGGTGTATTTTGCATAAAACAAAACGTTAACAAAATTTCAATTTTTTGACCAAAACCATGGACTAACCCCTTTGGAAAAATGCCAATTTCCTGGGTGTTTGAAACCGATGTTCTGGTTATTTACAAGGGCTTGTTTGCTATATAAAACGTCGAAAAATTGTTATTTTACGATTTATTTTGACGATTTATGACATGGGAATATATGGGGTTACAAGGAATTACAGGTGGTTACAAGGGGTGACAAGGGGTTACAATGGGTTACAGGGGGTTACAAGGGGTGACAGGGGGTTAGAAGGTGTTACAGGGGGTTACAAGGAAATACAGGGTGTTACAAAGGATTATATAAACTTTTTCTAAGTAAAACGTTCCCAGATACTTTTTCTTGCTCTGTTTTGTATAAAAATCAAAGTTGAAGAAATCTCAAATTTTTGACCAAAACTATGGACTAACCCCTTTGGAAAAATTCTAATTTTGCGTTTTTCATAAACAGTTGTTTTTAAAGTCTTTAAAGGCTTCTTTTTTATCTAGAACGTCAGCAAACACTTTTTCTCGATCTATTTTTGATAAAGACAATAGATGAAAAAACTTCAACTTTTTGACCAAAATCATGGACTATCCCCTTTGCAAATTTGCCAATTTTGCCTTTTTTTTAAATCCATGTTGATATTGTCTAGAAAGGCTTGTTTTCTAAGGAGAACGTCACCAAATACTTTTTCTCGGTGTATTTTGCATAAAACGAAACGTTTACAAAATTTCAAATTTTTGACCAAAACCATGGACTAACCCCTTTGGAAAAATGCCAATTTTGTGGGTGTTTGAAACCGATGTTTTGGTTATTGACAAGGGCTTGTTTGCTATATAAAACGTCGAAAAATCGTTTTTTTACGATTTATTTTCACGATCTATAACATGGGAATACAGGGGGTTACAAGGAATTTCAGGTGGTTACAAGGGATTACAAGGGGTGACAAGGGGTTACAATGGGTTACAGGGGGTTACAAAGGGTTACAGGGGCTTACAAGGGGTTAAAAGGGGTTACTTTGCGTTACAAAGGGATACAAGGGGTGACAGGGGGTTACAAGGGGTGAGAGGGGGTTACAAGGGGTGACAGGTTGTTACAAGGGGTTACAAGGGGTGACAGGGGTTTACAAGGAGTTACATGGCGTCACAAAGGATTTTAGAACCTTTTTTCAAACTAGAACGTTTCCAGATACTTTTCCTTGGTCTATTTTGCATAAAAATCAAAGTTGAAGAAATGTCAGATTTTTGACCAAAACGATGGACTAACCCCTTAGAAAAAATTCTAATGCTGCGTTTTTTATAAACACTTGTTTTTAAAGTCTTTAAAGGCTTCTTTTTTATCTAGAACGTCAGCAAACACTTTTTCTCGATCTATTTTTGATAAACACGAAAGATAAAAAAAACTTCAAATTTTTGACGAAAATCATGGACTAACCCCTTTGGAAAAATGCCAATTTTGTGGGTGTTTGAAACCGATGTTTTCGTTATTTAGAAAGGCTTGTTTGCTAAATAAAACGTTTAAAATCGTCTTTGTACGATTTATTTTCACGATCTATGACATGGGAATACCGGGGGTTACAAGGGGTTACAAGGGGTGACAAGAGGTTCCAAAGGGTTACAAGGGGTTACAAGGGGTGACAGTGGGTTACAAGGGGTTACAGGGGGTTTCAAGGGGTGACAGGGGGTTACTAGGGTTACAGTGGGTTACAATGGGTGACAGGGGGTTACAAGGGGTAACAGGGGGTTACAAAGGGTTACAGGCGGTTACAAAGGATTATAGGAACTTTTTCTAGCTAGAACGTTCCCAGGTACTTTTTCTTGGTCTGTTTTGCATAAAAATGAAAGTTGAAGAAATCTCAAATTTTTGACCCAAACGATGGAAAAATTCTAATTTTGCGTTTTTCATAAACAGGTGTTTTTAAAGTCTTTAAAGGTTTCTTTTTTATCTAGAACGTCAGCAAACACTTTTTCTCGGTCTATTTTTAAAAAGCACAAAACATGAAAAAACTTCAACTTTTTGACCAAAATCATGGACTATCCCCTTTGGAATGATGCCAATTTTGTGGGTCTTTGAAACCGATGTTTTGGTTATTCACAAGGGCTTGTTTGCTGTATAAAACGTTGAAAAATCGGTTTTTTTGCAATTTATTTTGGTGATCTATGACATTGGAATACAAGGGGTTACAAGGAGTTACAGGTAGTTACAAGGGGTTACAAGGGGTGACAAGGGGTTACAATGGGTTACAGGGGGTTACAAGGGGTTACAGGGGGTTACAATGGGTTACAGGGGGTTACAATGGGTTACGAGGGGTTACAAGGGAATACAGGGAGTTACAAAGGATTATGGAAACTTTTTCTAACTAGAACGTTCCCAGATACTTTTTCTTGGTCTGTTTGGCATAACAAATCAAAGTTGAAGAAATCTCAAACTTTTCACCAAAACGATGGACTAACCCCTTTGGAAAAATTCTAATTTTGCGTTTTTCATAAACAGTTGTTTTTAAAGTCTTTAAAGGCTTCTTTTTTATCTAGAACGTCAGCAAACACTTTTTCTCGATCTATTTTTGATAAAGACAATAGATGAAAAAACTTCAACTTTTTGACCAAAATCATGGACTATCCCCTTTGCAAATTTGCCAATTTTGCCTTTTTTTTAAATCCATGTTTATATTGTTTAGAAAGGCTTGTTTTCGAAGGAGAACTTACCCAAATACTTTTTCTCGGTGTATTTTGCATAAAACAAAACGTTTACAAAATTTCAAATTTTTGGCCAAAACCATGGAAAAATACCAACTTTGTGGGTGTTTGAAACCGATGTTTTGGTTATTCACAAGGGCTTGTTTGCTATATAAAAGGTCTTAAAATCGTTTTTTTACGATTTATTTTCACGATCTATAACATGGGAATACAGGGGGTTACAAGAAATTACAGGTGGTTACAAGGGATTACAAGGGGTGACAAGGGGTTACAATGGGTTACAGGGGGTTACAAGGGGTTACAAAGGGTTACAGGGGCTTACAAGGGGTTACAGGGGCTTACAAGGGGTTACAAGGGAATGCAGGGAGTTACAAAGGATTATGGAAACTTTTTCTAACTAGAACTTTCCCAGATACTTTTTCTTGGTCTGTTTTGCATAAAAATGAAAGTTGAAGAAATCTCAAATTTTTGACCAAAACGATGGACTAACCCCTTTGGAAAAACTCTAATTTTGCGTTTTTCATAAGCAGTTGTTTTCAAAGTCTTTAAAGGCTTCTTTTTTATCTAGAACGTCAGCAAACACTTTTTCTCGATCTATTTTTGATAAACACAAAAGATGAAAAAGCTTCAACTTTTTGAGCAAAATCATGGACTATCCCCTTTGCAAAAATGCCAAGTTTGCCTTCTTTTTAAATCCATGTTTATATTGTCTAGAAAGGTTTGTTTTCTAAGATGAACGTCACCAAATACTTTTTCTCGGTGTATTTTGCATAAAACGAAACGTTTACAGAATTTCAAATTTTTGACCAAAACTATGGACTAATCCCCTTTTTATAAATGCCAATTTTGGTGGGTGTGTGAAACCGATGTTTTCGTTATCCGCAAAGGCTTGTTTGCTATATAAAACGTTTAAAATCGTCTTTTTACGAGTTATTTTCACGATCTATGACATGGGAATACAGGGGGTTACAAGGGGTTACAGGAGGTTACAAGGGGTTACAACGGGTGACAAGAGGTTACAAAGGGTTACATGAGGTTACAAGGGGTTACAGGGGGTTGCAAGGGGTTACAGGAGGTTAAAAGGGTTTACAAGGAGTGACAGGGGGTTACAAGGGGTTACAGTGGGTTACAAGGGCTGACAGGGGGTTACAAGGGATTACAGTGGGTTACAATGGGTGACATTGGGTTACAACGGGTTACAGGGGGTTGCAAGGGGTGACAGGGGTATACAAGGGGTTACAGGCGGTTACAAAGGATTATCGAAACTTTTTCTAACTAGAACGTTCCCAGATACTTTTTCTTGGTCCATTTTGCATAAAAATCAAAGTTGAAGAAATCTCAAATTTTTGACCAAAACGATAGACTAACCCCTTTGGAAAAACTCTAATTTTGCGTTTTTCATAAACAGTTGTTTTGAAAGTCTTTAAAGAATTCTTTTTTATCTAGAACGTCAGCAAACACTTTTTTTCGATCTATTTTTGATAAAGACAAAAGATGAAAAAACTTCAACTTTTTGACCAAAATCATGGACTATCCCCTTTGCAAAAAAGGCAATTTTGCCTTTTTTTCAAATTTATGTTTATATTCTCTAGAAAGACTTGTTTTCTAAGGAGAACGTCACCAAATACTTTTTCTCGGTGTATTTTGCATAAAACGAAACGTTAACAAAATTTCAAATTTTTGACCAAAACCATGGACTAACCCCTTTGGAAAAATGCGAATTTTGTGGGTGTTTGAAACCGATGTTTTGCTTATTCAGAAGGGCTTGTTTGCTATATAAAACGTCGAAAAATCGTTTTTTTACGATTTATTTTGACGATCTATGACATGGGAATACAAGGGGTTACAAGGAATTACAGGTGGTTACAACGGGTTACAAGGGGTGACAAGGGGTTACAATGGGTTACAGGGGGTTACAATGGGTTACAGGGGGTTACAAGGGGTGACAGGGGGTTACAAGGGGTGACAGGGGGTTACAAAGGGTTACAGGGGGTTACAAAGGAATACAGGGAGTTACAAAGGATTATATAAACTTTTTCTAAGTAAAACGTTCCCAGATACTTTTTCTTGCTCTGTTTTGTATAAAAATCAAAGTTGAAGAAATCTCAAATGTTTGACCAAAACGATGGACTAACCCCTTTGGAAAAATTCTAATTTTGCGTTTTTCATAAACAGTTGTTTTTAAAGTCTTTAAAGGCTTCTTTTTTATCTAGAACGTCAGCAAACACTTTTTCTCGATCTATTTTTGATAAAAACAAAAGATGAAAAAACTTCAACTTTTTGACCAAAATCATGGACTCTCCCCTTTGCAAATTTGCCAATTTTGCCTTTTTTTTAAATCCATGTTTATATTGTCTACAAAGGCTTGTTTTCTAAGGAGAACGTCACCAAATACTTTTTCTCGGTGTATTTTGCATAAAACGAAACGTTTACAAAATTTCAAATTTTTGACCAAAACCATGGACTAACCCCTTTGGAAAAATACGAATTTTGTGGGTGTTTGAAACCGATTTCTTGGTTATTCACAAGGGCTTGTTTCCTATATAAAACGTCGAAAAGTCGTTTTTTTTACGATTTATTTTCACGACCTATAACATGGGAATACAGGGGGTTACAAGGAATTACAGGTGGTTACAAGGGGTTACAATGGGTGACAAGGGGTTACAGGGGGTTACAAGGGGTTACCGGGGGTTACAAGGGCCTACTGGGGCTTACAAGGGGTTACAGGGGGTTACAGGGGGTTACAAGGGGTGACAGGGGGTTACAAGTGGTGACAGGGGGTTACAAGGTGTGACAGGTGGTTACAAGGGATTACAAGTTGTGACAGGGGTTTACAAGGAGTTACATGGGGTTACAAAGGATTTTAGAACCTTTTTTCAAACTAGAACGTTTCAGATACTTTTCCTTGGTCTATTTTGCATAAAAATCAAAGTTGAGGAAATGTCAAATTTTTGACCAAAACGATGGACTAACCTCTTAGGAAAAATCCTAATGCTGCGTTTTTCACAAACAGTAGTTTTTAAAGTCTTTAAAGGCTTCTTTTTTATCTAGAACGTTAGCAAACACATTTTCTCGATCTATTTTTGATAAACACTAAACATGAAAAAACTTCAAATTTTTGACGAAAATCATGGACTATCCCCTTTGCAAAAATGCGAATTTTGCCTTCTTTTTAAATCCATGTTGTATTGCTTGCTAAGGAGAACGTCACCAAATACTTTTTCTCGGTGTATTTTGCATAAAACAAAACGTTAACAAAATTTCAAATTTTTGACTAAAACCATAGACTAACCCCTTTGGAAAAATGCCTATTTTGTGGGTGTTTGAAAGCGATGTTTTGGTTATTCACAAAGTCTTGTTTGCTATATAAAACGTCGAGAATCATTTTTTTTACGATTTATTTTCACGATCTATGACATGGGAATACAGGGGGTTACAAGGGGTTACAGGTGGTTACAAGGGGTTACAAGGGGTTACAAAGGGTTTCCGGGGGTTACAAGGGGTAATAAGGTTTGACAGGGGGTTACAAGGGGCTACAGGGGGTTACAAGGGGTGACAGGGGGTTACAAGGGGTTACAGTGAGTTACCAGGGGTGACAGGGGGTTACAAGGCGTTAAAAGGGGTGACAGGAGTTACAAGGGGTTACAGGAGGCTACAATGGTTTACAGGGGGTTACAGTAAACCTTTTTTTTAACTAGATCGTAGCCAGATCCTTTTTCTTGGTTTAATAGTCTTGAAAGGCTTCTTTTCTATTTAGAACGTCGGCAAACACATTTCCTTGATCTATTTTTGACAAACACAAAAGATAAAAAAGCTTTAACTTTTTGGCCAAAATCGTGGACTACCCCTTTGCAACAATGAAAATTTTCGGTTTTTTTAAACGGCTGTATTTGCAGTCCAGAAAAGATTCTTTTCGACATAAAATGTCAAAACTCGTTTCTTCGCGATTTATTTTCACGATTTATTTTCACGAATTATTGCACGATAATCTTTGTTATCATTGTAAACACATGTGTCTCTAGGCGCTCTGTTGATAATAAAGCACTTATCCTATCCTATCCTGGGGATACAAGGGGTTACAAAAGGTTACAGGGGGTTACAAGGGATTATATGGGTTTACAGGAGATTACAGGGGGTTTCAAGGGGTTACATGGGGTTACAAGGGGTTAAAAGGGGTTACAGGGGATTACAGGGGGTTTCTGGGGGTTACAGGGGATTACAAAGGGTTAGAAGACGCTGCAAGGGGTTACAAGGGATTAAAGGGGGTTACAGGGGTTTACAGGGGATTACAAGGTGTTACAAAGGCTTACAGGGAGGTACAGAAAACCTGTTTTCTAACTTGATCGTAACCAGATACTTTTTCTTGGTCTATTTCGCTTAAAAATAAAAGTTGAATAAATCTCACATTTTTGATGAAAACAATGAACTTTGGAAGAAAGGGAAATTTGCGTTTTTCATAAACAGATGTTCTAATAGTCTTGAAAGGCTTCTTTTCCATCCAGAACGTCAGCAAACACTTTTTCTCGATCTATTTTTGATAAACACAAAAGATGAAAAAACTTCAACTTTTTGTCCTAAATCATGGACTAACCCCTTTGCAAAAAGGCAATTTTGCGGTTTTCTTAAATCCATGTTTCTATTGTCTAGAAAGGCTTGCTTTTTAACGAAAACGTCACCAAATTGTCTTGGTGTATTTTGCATTTAAAACGTCAAAAGTGGAATTTTCACGATATATTTTCGCAATGTATGACATGGTGATACTTGAGGGTTACACGGTGATTACAGGGGGTTTTAAGGTCTTACTGGGGGTTACAGAAAATCTTTTTTCTAAGTAGATCGTCCTCAGATACTTTGTCTTCGTCTATTTTGCATAAAAATAAAAGTTGAATAAATTTCAAATTTTTGACAAAAACTATGGAGTTACCCCTTTGGAAAAAAGTGAAAATTGCGTTCTTCGTAAACAGATGTTCTAGAAGTCTTGAAAGGCTTCTTTCCTGTGCAGAACGTCAGCAAACACTTTTTCTCGATCTGTTTTTGATTAACACAAAAGATTAAAAAACTTCAACATTTTTTTTACCAAAATCATGGACTAACCCCTTTGGGAAAATATTAATTTTGCGGTTTTCTTAAATCCATGCCTTTGTACGGACAGTTCATTTGGTCCTAAAATATCCTCTGTACTTTTATAATACGGGCACCTCGATTTTCTAGAACCTTTGTTGTAAATGGTAAACAACCCGTTTTTCGCGAGGGTTTGGGACTCGAGATACATAGTATTTCTAGTATAGTATACTGGCACCTCTATGATGCGGACACCTTTGCAATGCGTAGGGTTGGCTCTCTCCTTTTGTATGTATGTCATGAACATGTGTTTAAACATGCTATGAAAACATACATGGCTGAATTTAACTCGGATTCTTTCAATCAAAGTGGCATAGAACCACGGATTTGTGTAAATTGTTTGAAGTCGCTTAATTCAATAGAAACCAGGTTCGTATCGATAAGCTCTATTGACTTGTTGTCTTGCTGGGTCCCTTGTGTAATTTGTTCAACTTTTCAAGCTAGCATATCTGAAAATTAGTCAATCATGAATTTGATTTTCGATGTCATCTCTTGGCATTCTCTCCCGGATACTCGTTCTTTTTGGAGCTGAGTGATGGAGCGCTTTCCATTCTGCCCAAAATTCCGGAAATTTTGGTTAGAAATCAAATGGAACAAGCCATTTCGGTTCGGTCCGACCGGAATATTTGGGACCACCTTTGAAGGTCGGTGGGACCAAAAGTCCCTTTCCATTTGACAAAATTGTTGTTCCTAGTACCGCTCTTTTGCATCCTGCTTACTAGAACAATAACCAAACGGGCGGTGGCTTGGGTCGGGTCTGTGCAACCGGAATGTACCATTTCATTGGGCACGTGGAATTTCCGAAATCTTGAACTGGAATTTTCGTTGAATTGAAGTCCGCGTGCCTTTCAAAACCGCCTAGTCAAACCCAATATCAAGTAAATTCGTTCGCTCAGTAACCACCGTCTTCAAACTCCTTGTGTTTCAGTTGATTACAGCTTATCGCGTTTGAAGTTAAGTGAACAATAATTCAATACCAGAAAAGAAAAGTAAAATTCAACAATAACGCCACCTTTCTCGGTCTTTGCCATAACGCATAGAACATCTAGCCTCTCTGTATTTATGGTTATCTCGAAAAAATGTTCACCACAACTACAAAGCAAACACTGAAATAAAACCTGACTGGTTCTCCCTTTTCTCTAGTCCCAGTTACCCGGCGTGAGCGTCACTCTTCCCATGGTTATCTTCGGAGTTTTGACTGTTGCTGCTGGCCTTATGACACTGTGGCTTCCGGAAACGCTTCTTGCACCCATGCATCAGACGATCGAAGAAATGGAACTGGAAAAGGAGTATTATGGGCTGATATGGATGGAAAAACCATATCCCTCTTCCATACCATGCTTTAAGAGGTAATTTGAAACATAAACTACACAGAAGACAGAGAGATTGGGAGGGGATCCTGTTTGAAGGTGAAGGCGGGGAGATAATAAGAAAGATAGCTGTTTATCTTAACATGGAGAAAGGTGACTGAAAGAATTTCAAAGATTTCTTTTTTCTATTTGTTTATACTAGCAACTCTTCAGACTGGGATGGAGTTCCAATGGAGGACAAGACATCAACAAAAAGTGGAGATAACGAATCTGATAACGGGTCCATAATACTCAAGCAATCGTCGGAAATATTTCCAAATGAGACTTAAGGAACGACGCAAAAACTTTGGCATCTATGGATGTTTGTTTGCGGGGCCCTTTTCTGCGTTCTAAGTGAAAGAGAGGATAAATATTTCTTTGACTAGGGTTGATAGGGTTGTAGGAGAGAGGACAGTGGATGATCTTCTCTTGGGTATTACTTACTCTTAATGTCGATAGGTGACAGACTGGTTTAGTTTGCGGCGCTGATTTTTTCACTTGGTCTGATTGTTGGTTCTTAAATGTATTCCTGGAAACATCTCACCATACTTCCCGTCTTATGGTCTCATAATAATGTTACAAAAATCCGGTGTAGACAATTACATAAGTCACCCATTTCTTTTACCTCGATAAGCAAAATTTCAGAAAGTTGTAAAGACTATTATTATATGGCTGAATTCATGAGCGGGCAAGATAAAGTGAATCCTGTATTCTTATTGGCTACCTAGGTGGGCAAGATGGGCCCATCTTTCCCGCTTGGGATTTTCCGCTTTGTTCCTGTAAGTAAAAGTTCTCTTTTTGGCCATACAATAAGTCCTTTATTGACCAAACTTGTTCGGTCAAGATGGCAGAATATTGGCCTCGTTTTTTTTTTCGTTTTTATTGACCTCGAATTCGTCTCGGTCGACAAAAAAGCAAACAATATCGAGCCATCTTAACCTCACGCTGGGTCAATAGCCAGCCATCTTAACCTTACGCTTGGTCAATATCCAGCCATCTTAGCCTTACGCTTGGTCAATATGCAGCCATCTTAACCTCACGCTTGGTCAATACCTTACGCTTGGTCAATATCCAGCCGTCATAACCTTACGCTTGGTCAATAACACATATCTACAGGCCTCTATGGAATTCTTCGATTGCAACATAAGTTGAACAGTTTTTATTTCATTTAAAAGACCAAAAGTTCAGCTTAGCTAAGAATCAAAACGCGAACTAGGGACCTTCTTTATGCTCACAAAAGTACATAAACGCTCGTAAGAAATCATCTTTTATTATTGACGTCGTAGAATGTACAATAGAAAATAAAAATTGATCCCTAGCTCTTCGAATGATCACAACACCTACTTAATGTTTATATATTTTTTAATTCTAGTAGCAGTTTTTTGCTACAATGCAAAGTATTACTGCTTTGATGTAACATTTCGTTATAATAGCCTTATGTTTTTACCTTGTTTTTGCATTGCTAGTGCTGTCTATCTCTCGATTGTATGTATCCTGTATCGTAATAAAATCTGAATTAGAATACCCAAATCAGTACCGAATAAGGCAAAAGTAAACCCCGTTACATCTATAGACAGAACTAATGTCAACGAAAAGAGCTGCCTGTCCGGAGAGCTGTATACTCTACTTAAGTCCACCCCATACGAGTCTCATTAACCCCAATCAAATCCAGTCCACTTCAGTCCGCTCCAGTCCAGTCCACAGTGCCTGCTTTCAGCATCAGCCAGCTCACTCCTCGAGGTCCATTTTCTCATTACTGATGGTGACATAAAAGCTATTGACTACAGGTAACAGTGTTTGAAACTCTTATTAGTGGTTATTAGGGTGTAGGTAGTACAGTTGACGGCCTCCGGTCCACGAGGGATACTTTGAGATCTCCATGAAACCGTATAGAACTCAGCGCTCTCGTAAGTTTCTACCTTGTAGAAAAAGCGAACCTTTATTTGTGTTAGTGAGCTTGGTGTACTTTGGTTTTCTGTTGTACATCTCTAATCTACCTGGAAGCCCGTACCTGAATCTCTTTCTGATGTACCTTACAGACATACCTGTCCAAGTCTTCCTTTCGTGGTATGTATTTCCTCCCTTAACATTAAAATAAACTAGACATCCTTTCTTCTGATGTGCCTTAGAGCTATAAAACGTATTGGACACGTTATACCCGGTAATGTGGAAAAACTTCCCAGGGCCTTTTGGTCCAGAAACTTACCCTAAGAATTTCTAGTACGGTGCTCTATGTTTTGTCTGTTTGTTTTGCGTTGGTGAGTATCAGTCTCCTCGTTTCTAAAGCAGCCAATGTAGCTTTGTTTTACCTGTCTAGCCTCGCTCCCAAGTTTTTCACTGCGAGGTCGAGGGTGGTAAAACAAATCTTTTTCAGTCAATCTGGACAATATGGCCGCCGTGTGAATAAGGCCCATAGTATTGCATTTACTCTCTCTCACTTACTTGTTACTGCGATGTTTTTTTTCTAATTACAGATATCAACCTGACCTTTTGCTGTACTTGGTAGCTGATCCTAACAGCTGATTCCTTTGTTGATAATTCACAAGTAAGAAGTATCTAAATTCTATGAATAATCTCTAAAGACATTTTAGTTCTGCAACACCAAGTGTTGGACCATGGGAGGGGTCAGATTTTCCTACTCTAATTTACGAGCCTCTCATTTTAGTTTTCTTTTTCCGTTTTCATTTTTTTATTGTTTTAATCGGTTTCAGTTAGCATTTCTTTCTTTCTTTTCCGAATACAGTCATCTCTTCTAGCTTCTCACCCTAAGAACGTTTTGTAGGAGACCATTCTGTGTTTTGGGGCCAAGTAAGGATGCAGAATCTGGTCAGGAGCTCTGATTGGTTGACGTAGTAATTATGCTCTTTTTGAGGTATTGTTTAGGAATGCCAGGCAAAATACTAAATGTCACAAAGATCAAATGTAAACGCGAGAAATCTACCAAAATTTCTTATACATCATGGGCAACGACCAATCACGGCGAGCGTAGCATTCAGTGCAGTTCTCGTTATGATCACACAGGGAATGATCCAGCTACTTTGAAAAAGAAAGCAACAGACTCGGCCTTCGCATTAATATTAGAGCCACGATAATTACGTCAACTGATTACTATGGAAATTTATGAAAATTTATGTCTGAAACTAAAATAATAGATTGCTGCATGCGAGGGGTCAATGTGTATTGCATTTCCTCAGCTTCTAGCTTGAGCGTTTCTACCATCCGGCACTGCACTGTATAGAATTTGAAGCCACGAAAGCGAGTCTCGAAGCTCCCTTTGTTCCCACTATTATGCTAAGCATCATTTAACGATATCAAAATGTTTCTTTTCTCACTGCTTGCAGGACATACCATCATTTTTATCATCACCATGGAGACGGACGAGATGCCTTGTGAGGCATGTATCAGAGGCTGAGAGCTTTATGACGTCATTATGGTCAATACGAGCAATGCAACAGACCCAGAATACAAAATCAAAGAATCTTAACCAGTGCCGGATCCAAACCTTGAAATAAGAGTGGTGGGGTGGGGGGCGGTCATCCAGACCCTGAGATAAAGGGGGGGGACCAGTCTCCAAAAATTTTTTTCCAGCCTTTCGGGCCTCAGTTTGGTCTAAAAATAAGGGGGGGGCGGGCCCCTCCCCTAGATTCGCGACTGTTAACGGAGGGAGACTAGCTTGCGACGCAGACGTAATCTAACCCCGGTTAGATTAGCGCCGGGATCCTTGTTGCGAGCCCCCAGCGGACTGAATTAATTACCGGAAATGCGTTTCGATGTTCCTATCAACTTGATTTTAAGCAGGCCAATCATGACGCGTACTCACATTCTGGTACACAGGTGTGGGCCTAGAACAAGGATTTCAGCAGTGATTCGCAGACGGGCTTAACCAGAAATTTAATTTCCTCTGTGGCACAGGCTAAGGGAGACAAGAACAAGTCATAACATACTAGGAATCTGTCCACGTACCCCTCCCTCAAATTAACATTTTGCCCTAACTAAAGAGTTTACGTAAAAGGCTGGTTGGGGAAGGGGTAGGCGGGCAGTTCCCAGAATCTTAAACCGTTCTACAGAACGTTGTTAAAGACTGCAATTTAATCGTTAGGTCTTGACTGACTTGAAAAATTTTTATCAACAAAAGTCTATCATTTTAGGGTTTTAACGTCTTTTCCTCACGATGTTCGAAAACTGGGAAGATATGTCATTAAAGAACAATAATATTAGTGAAGTCTTCCTCAGACAAACAGATAACAGTGGGTTTGGTTACTGACCGTTTCTTTGAGCCTTCATGGTGCATCCGATTCTATTGAAACTTTCGAGCAAAGACCTTTTTGGAATATGCGTGACATCATTTTGTGCAACGTGAACTTTATTCTAAGTTCAAATGGCGTCCGTCAATTTCTAAAGGACGCGTCAACTGAAACAGAGCAAACAGAAGGAATATTCGAGATATTTTACAGATTAGGGTTAGGGTTTTTTGTTTGTCTTTTTTTATTTCACCTATTGCCAGATTTTCAGGGGCAGTATTCAGGATTGATCTTGGGTCTGCTGTTGGACTATCAAAAATATCGACGCGCGTCACTCAATTTTACCTTCGCTTGGAAAGGCTCTCGTTATATTCCGATAGACTTGGATGATTATATAACAATTATTAACCGAAGTGGAGGTGGCTAGTGGTTGACCGAGCCGCGTGGTATTTCTAGGTCTACTTTTCAAGGAGGAGAGAATACTTCGATAGTAGCTAATTTTGTCAGTACTATGTTGTCGCCATTATTTCTGTGATATTCGCTTTATCTATCAAAAAGAGTACCCAAGTATAGAGCCTATTATTATTCATTAAAAATATTTCCCTAATTCTGATTGGTTAAAAGCACGCGCATAATTCACCATAACCAGTTACTGATGACCAAATTTGAAAGAATTTTGTGTTTCACGAGGAAATGACTTCAAAAATGCAGCCTTCAGGTTGATGCACCGTTAAACGAGAAGGCCTGGGGACGAGGCTGAGTTGTTTTCGTTGTGAAAACTAAGATGGCGGACACTTCACTCGTTTCAAGAGTAAGAACTACAGCTGGAACTAGGCAAAATAATGGCTAAAACATAGCAAAAACAGCAAAAAGACAACTCGGAGGGCGACATCTGCTATTTGGAGAATATTTGCGGAGCTGGACAAAGCTAAACGTACACTATCGAAGATAAACTTGACATCGATGCAGGTAAGCATGTTTTAGCTATGTTTTTAAACTAAGAATTATTTTGAATGAACAATAAAGCAATTAATAAATTCGGCTTTCGT